GTGATTCTGGGATTCACTTTGGAATTATAGAGATTTTGGCAGAAAGTTTCTTCAAAGTCAGTGCAGTCCATCTGGCCACCTGACATCTACGTCCCTGAATCCAGTGAAGGGAAACTCACTACTTCCCAAGTCAGCCTAATCCATTCCACGACCAAATAAGAAAGCTAGATTTTCAAAGAAAACATTCGTATATTTTGTCATGGTGGTTGTTTGCTTTGCAAATTCTCCTTCCATGAATTATAGTTATTCATAACTTTCAACAGCCATAGGTCATTGCACTCCTATCAAGGTTTTTGCAAGACATTTGAATTACAGATGTGGAGGTAGAAATGTGTTTGTAGTGCATGGATCCATCCTCATCAGCCTTATCATCTAGTATAATAATAATTGCTAATACTTCTATAGAATTACTGGGTGCCAGGCATTTTCTTAGCATTTTGCATATATTAAATTGAGTAAATGTAATTTCTCTAAACACCGTTTCCTATTTGCTTCCCTACAGGGGCCCAGGATTTGATGGCATATCCACAAAAGAAGGAATCTAGATGTCATCTAGTCCAATCCTCAACTTTCCCCACAAGTCCCAGAGAGGGTGTGTGCCTTACCTTAGGTCACACAGCTATTAGTGGTAGAGTGGGATCTCAAGCATCTGAATAACAACAAGCTCACTGTTCATAGCCAGGATCAAGAAAGGTATTGTAGGAACCTGAGACTCTCTTTCATAAGAATCTGCCTTGTTTTGTTCTACATATGGCTAATACTCTGCCGCAAGGTGCCAAAATCACCTTTCCTACCTTGTGATCTTTTAAAGTAAGTCCTTCTTTGAATTTACTTTAAGGCACTTGTATCATCTCTCCTTCCATTTCCCAGTGTTTTAAAAAACTTTTCTAATATAGCCAAGTGAATTTCTTTCCACGTCAGTGAGATTTCTGGATCAGGAACAAAATCATTTCAACCTGTCTGCCATTAACTTTCCCATCAGAACAACTGACAAACACAGTTCAGTTGACCTATTCAAGATCTGTAGGATCTTTCTCCTATGTGGCTTATGGTGAAGGGTGAGCAGGTGTCAGGAGAGAAGAACCCTGGGTAGAACATGGAGATGTGTGGCATCTTAGCTGGCTGCATGTTGAACAGAGCACCTCTCTGGCAGCAGAGAAGGGAGCTGGATCCCTGGCTGTTTGCTTCCATGGACATTCACCTGAATTCTGCTCTTGGGACAGAACTGAAAACTCCTGCCCAAATCTGGTTGTGTACATTTCTTTCCAAGAACCCTATCTACATTTGCAACCAGGTCTGGCAACATCAGTAGAGAGGAAGGACTTTTGTCCTCTCAGAACACAGGAATATTCTATGTCAGCAGCCACTTTTTTCAATGTTGGGTGCATCAGTGTCTGGGTTGCATAGAATATTTTAAAATCATATTTGCTTTCAAGCAATGACAGCTTTATAAACAGAATGGACATGAACAGATGAGTCTAATTCAGTTATAACTAAAGCTAAGGCAATTCCAAAACTACTTTATTGTACAAAATATTGTTCAGAATTTGTGTATTGGGTTTGAGCTTCTTTTATTTTTAATACAGATTTTATTATAGTTATATTCGTTGGGGAAAAAATACCAAAGAGAGACTGGTTGATTTTTAGTCAGGGTTCTGGTAAAAGTGTGTTTTCCCTAATTGTCTGAACTTTTCTCCACTTCCATAACTAGAAAGATGGGATCTGTATGGATTTTAGGGCCACGGACATCTGCGGCTCAATCTTCATTCTACCACTTAAAATTGTGGGAGCTTGTGTATGTGACAACTCTCTGAGTCTCCACTTCCTTCTATGTGACTGATAGCACTTATCTCAGAAGCCATTATGGGTTTCAAACAAGGTATTTGAAAAGCACATGGAATAAGTTTGCATAATGTTAGGTATATAGACACTCAGTAAATGTTAGCTTCCAGTTTCCTTCTCTCACTCTTCACTCTGTGTGTGTGTGTGTGTTTGGTGAAAAAAGGAGGAAGATTTGATGAGTATGAATTGGACGACTGGTCCAGAAATAAAGGATCAGTATACAATCAAACAAACACACAAAAAATCAAACACAAAACAGAAAGGAACAGAGGTGAGAAATGGAAAAAAGAAGTTTAGAAAAACGCTATCAACAATAAATATTTACTAAGAACTTCCTATTTATATGTTTAGGTCCTCCAATGTATGGGACTCAAGGATATTCTTGTCCTCAAAGAGCCTAGACACTTTTTTTTTTTTGCGGTACGCGGACCTCTCACTGCTGTGGCCTCTCCTGTTGCGGGGCACAGGCTTCCCGACGCGCAGGCTCAGCGGCCATGGCTCACGGGCCTAGACGCTCCGTGGCATGTGGGATCTTCCCAGATCGGGGCACGAACCCGTGTCCCCTGCATCGGCAGGCGGACTCTCAACCACTGCGCCACCAGGGAAGCCCAGAGCCTAGACACTTTTGAGGAGACAAGATTTATTCATTTGTAAAAGAGATAATTAAAATGCAAAGGAGTTGCTACTCTTGGAGTTGAGAGGAGAAAGCAACCTCTGTATTTATGGTATCTTTCAGTCGTGCTATGGGAGACAAGGGAAGACGAGAAAATCTTGAAATGCCCAGCCATTTGAGTCTGATGACAAAAGCTGGGAATATTCTTACAAAGGGAGACCATTGGTTTTGTGAAAACTGCAGTGGTGAAAATGATCGTGGTATTCTTTGTAACAACAGAAAATCCCCAAACAAACCTAAATGGGGCCTGGTAGTCTCACAGCCTTTATGCTAAGGGGCAGGGGGTGGGTGGACAGGCTGAAGACGTCCAGTGCATACTCCTGGTTTCCTTATTCAGCCTGAGAGACGCTGATACCCCTTGTTGAGTTACTTATCTAGATTCTCTTTAAGCTCCGTCTCTTTCTTTCCCCAGCAGATCCCTGGAGAGATGCCCTTTCAACCTCCATCTCTACTAAATGCCTTTTGGATCCCAGCAGTGGAGCCCATTGGGTGGCTGGATTGACTCAGAGCAAACTATTACTGAGGCCTGTTAGCGTTGGTGAAAAGAATTCTAGCCAAATCCTCCAGGTTAGAAGAGAAATGACAGCTCCTCCCAGAAGTATTCCCGTGACAAAACACAGCAACCACCCTACAAAGGGTTAATCCTCCCCCCTCCCCTGCCCCCCAACTTGCTGCCAGAGATCAGCTAATCTGATAATTATGGCAACAAACACAGTTTAGACAAACAAGACCTGACCCTGAGGGTTTGGAATGAAAACATTTACTCTCTCCCTCCCCAGAGAGACTGTGCCTGGAGCATACACACAGAGAGACACTGGGAAAATACCCTTGTGCGGGAGCTACAGGGTGAAAACATCTGTGTTCCTGAGCTGCTTAAGAAGATAAAGTTAATGGGGAGAAGGAAGGGGGTGGGGGAGGTGGGAGGAGTGGGGAATGGTACAGTCGGAGGGTGTGCATGTTTGGAGCAGATGGAAAATGTACCCAGAACTGGAGATGTAAGCCAATTGTAATTGATTTTACAACAGGCAGAGTGAGAGGAGAGGTACAGAGGAGTCTCAATGAGGCAGAATTCCAGTGAAGAACCTGGACTGTGGCTAGAGGAGGAGAAACATCTTAAACCCCCAAAGTAGGACTTATTCCTGAGAGCTGGAAGGGAAGATTATTCCAAGTAGTCCACGATTCTAAGTGAATTTTAATATCTGCCTGCCTGGCAATGAGGCTCACAATCTAACTTGGCTGGTCATCCTTCTCTCACCCCTAGTTTTGCTTCTAAACTGAGCAACACGGGACTTCCCTGGTGGCGCAGTGGTTAAGAATCTGCCTGCCAATGCAAGGGATACGGGTTTGAACCCTGGTCAGGGAAGATCCCACATACCGTTGAGCAACTAAGCCCGTGCACCACTACTGAGCCTGCGCTCTAGAGCCCGCGTGCCACAACTACTGAAGCTCACGAGCCTAGAGCCCGTGCTCCGCAACAAGAGAAGCCACCACAATGAGAAGCCCGCGCACCGCAACGAAGAGTAGCCCCCGCTCGCAGCAACTAGAGAAAGCCCGCATACAGCAACAAAGACCCAACGCAGCCAAAAATCAATCAATCAATCAATCAAATCAACTAACTAAAGCAACATGCCCTTTCCCCCTTGCTGTCTGCCTCAAAACTTGTCAAGCTACTTTTCCCCTTTCTGCATCTAAAATGCTGCTTCCTAGAAGAAAACTTTCTGGGTTGCTTAAACTGGAGATTCTGCCCTTGGCTTGCTTTAACTTGGAATTCCAACAGTTTCTCCTTTCCAACTACCTTCAAGTTTTGCCCCACGTAGCCATGAGCCTAATGTCATCCTAGAGCCAAATGTCATTTCTTTTTTGCACATGGCTGGTGGTATATCAGCTGGTAAACACTCCTTGCCCCTTAAAACTCTCCAAAGGGTCTCTAGGCATCCAAATCCTTGGGCATTTGCAGACCATATATATGGATTACCCCAAGCTAAGAGGAGCAACTACTATGATTGATGATAGGATCGAGGTTTAAAATGAATTCCATAAGGTGAAAGATGGTCTAAAATCAATAAGAGAGGATGTGCCAGGAATGTGAAGCACTGCATTTAGGTCCAATAATCAATTTACGAGCATAGGACGGAAAGACCTACAAAACAAGTTTACGTAAAAACAAAATAAAAAAACCATTATTTTGGACAACAACTGGTTCAATATGAGATAAAAATGAACCTATCTGCTTAAAGAGTGAATACAATCATGGTAGGTGTTAATAAAAGTATTGTGATCACATCAACATTTTACTGTATTCTTAGCAAGGGAAGGGTAGAACTGAACAAATCTTTTTTTTTTTTTTTAAGTCTAACTGTCAGCTGACCAAGCAGAGTCCAGGAGGCTATGCAGATCAATTTTCCTTTGTTTGTGCTTTAATTTAATTTCAGATTCAAGTGCCCTACTGCAATCTACACAGGGTCCACCTTGGCAATCATCATACCTTGTTCAGCTGGTTCCACTTGCCCCTGTGTTTTGAATCCCATGCAGGCCCATTTACTTGTTCCTCTGCCAGTCTGTTGGAGAATCGGAGATTCCTCTACTCCTCAAGGAAAGACACTTCTTTCCAAATAGTCCAGACTTCTCACTGCTCTTCACACACCCCATGGTCGTTTGTTAATTTGTTCATTCATTCATAAATCCATTGACCATCCACTATGTGCCAGGCACTGTACCAGGAACTGGGATTCAACAGTGATAAGAAACGGTCCTTGCTTTCATCAAGCTTATGTTCTCAGGGGGGTAAGCAGATCCTAAACAAAAACTAAGAAAATTTCAGATAATAAAAAGGTATGAAAATTTACCCTGTACTTGAAACGCCTTCCAACTTCTGCCTAAAATTCTCCGAAAGTTACCTCCTGCTTTCTAACTCAGCTCAAGTTCCACCTTCCCCTTGGAGGGGCAGAGAACTCCTCCAGCTTTCTCCTCCCTGAACTTTTGGTGCCCAAGGGCTTGTAACACATAATTAATACTCAACTGCTCTCCAATTGTTTCCCTTACACTAATTTTGCCTCCCAGTAGACTGTAGGAGCCAGTGAACTCTTTGAAGTTATAGGCTATGCCTTCAGTTTAAACATATTCAGTCAATCTTTATCTATGATACTGTTAAAAAGGAAATGAGAAGCACAGTTTAAACATAACTTGAGGCTTTTAAGCTGATTCCCAGATAACAAGAGAACTTCTTCCAGCGTCTCCGAAATCCTCTAGAATAAGAATGTAAAGTCAGGATGGTAGTTTGTTTATTTGCTGAACACACCTCCTCCAAAGAGTCCTAGATTTTGTAAGGAGATCTTTAAAGCAACAAACATACCTTGAACTGAGTATTAGTGAGATTAGAGGGAACAGCAGGAGGGAAACAGCCAACAAGCTCAAAAAGGGAAGAAAGTTAAGGACAAACAATGGCAAATTCAGAAAAATGTTCGGTCCAAAATTGAGCCCAAACAACATTTTTTTGGGCCCCTCACACTCTGCAGAAGCAAAGCATCCTGAAAACAAAACAAAACAAACCTAGAAACAATACAAATGGCCATCAATAGAGGTTTGATTAAAGCAATAATGGCACCTTCATAATGTGGACTGGTATGTGGTAAGAATGAAGTAGTAAATCTACATACACTGATGTGAAGAGATGGCCACTTTGTAGTTTAAACAGCAAGTCTCAGAACAATACAGATAATATGATCCCTTTCATTAAAAAACTTACTTATATATGTGTAGAAAATGCATTTAAGGATATATACTAAATTGTTAACAATGGTATTTCTGGGAATGGGTTATAGGCAATGGGGTTGGGGAGACAGGGGTATTTAATAATTTATTTTTACTTTATAACTTCTGAACTGTTGTATATCCTGCACTTAATTACGGATACCCAGAGTGGTTCCTGGATTTGTACGTGCCCCTTGTGCCACATGGAAGGACTTCTGAAGAGAAATCCTAAGCGTCTGCCAATGAACTGTGCATGGCTATGTCCTAGGGGGCATTCTTAGGTAGAAGGAGAGTATGTCCCAGCCAAAGATTTGCCAGGGCACACAAGGAGAGCCATAAGGAGGCCGCTACAAGCATGTTTCATGAGTTTGCTTCCTTAATGCAACTCAAGGATGCACTGAACAAATTCTATGACAAGTTTGTTGTTATATAAATGAACCCCTGGAAAAACGTATAAATAAAACTTTTACATCACCAGGCAGTAAGGGAAAACAATATTTAAGACGTTGAGGTCACGAATGTGGCTTTGGGATGATAGAGACATTTTGAATTCTAAGTTTGCCACTTACTAGCTTTGTGAACATGGGCAAATTATATTACCTCTCATTGTTTTCCTCCTCCTTCCTGTGAATCTTTTTTGGGGGAGTCTCCTCCTTCTCTTTCCAGCCCTGAAATGCTGGTGTTCCTAAAGCTGCTGTCCGAGGCCCTCTTCTCCTTTCCTTGGGTGATATTATCTTCCTGTGGCTTTAGTGGCCACTGCATGCCTGTGACATACAAGTCAACAGATCAGGCCAAATCTCTCTTCTTAGCTCCATGCTCTGCCTGATACCTTCTAAGGGAATCCCATTTCCTGCATGCTAAAACCCTTTAACATGCTTTACATGGTCCTTCAAAATCTGGGGCTAGGTTACCTTTCTAATCTCATTGCTCACACATTCTCTCTTCCCTCTCTGCTCCAATCAGACCAAGCCATTTTTCATTTCTTCCACTAACCGTGTCCTGTGGTCCTTAAACTCTGGGCTTTTACAACTCTTTGGTCCTCCTGCTCTAGCCTACGTGTCTAGCACCCACCCCGGCAGTTTCCCAGTATTGCACTCCTCACACTGCATTGAATGACTTGTTTACACATTTGGATCATCCACCAGATCATAAGCCCCAGAAAGCCAGGGTATTTATCTTGTTTGTCACTGTATACTTAGAACATAACCCCCAGTACTGGCACTTGACAATCTAATTATAGACATTTGTTAAATAAAGCCATTATAACATTGTTAAATAAAGCCAATATATCATTATAACATGAGCGAGGTGATATAATCTTTAAGAATTGGGCTCTGGGTTCAAACTTTAGGTCTACTGCTTAACAGCTGTGCAACTTTTGGCAAGTAATTAACTTATCTGTTCCTCAGTTTCCTCATCTGTTACCCCATCTATTAGAATGCTTCGAGGAAATGAAGCACTAAATGAAATAACCGTTTTCATTACAAAGCAAGTGCTTAATAAATATCAGATAGTTTAACGTTTAGAAAGTGCTTAGAACGGTGCCTGGCACATAGTAAGAACATAATAAATATTAGTTATTATTATCACTATAATTTTTTGTAATGATAAAAATAATCTCTAATTAGTTTTAAAAGTTTAGATTTCTGTGTATAGATTTTCTTAAACCACAGCATATTTGTGCTTAGTAAGTCAGGTAGTCTAGTAGCTTTTCCCCTCTAGGAAAGTATTTAAATACTTGAGTGGAAAGTTATTAGGGACAGTAAGAGAGCAAGGAAGGAGAACCAACTGTGTTTAGTGTTAATAGTGTTCTAGACTTCAGTTGTTGCAAAACAGTGGTTGGACTTTAATGTTTCTATGATTGTTGCTTTTCTTCCAATGGCAGTTCTCAAACTTGGGTGTGCATCAGCATCATCTGATAGCTTGTTAAACTACTGATCAACTGCCTCTATTTCTAGGTGGTTCTGGGATGGGGCCTGGGTTCGTGGACTTTTACCAAGATCCCCTGGTGATTCTGATGCAAAATGAGGTTTAAGAACCTGTGAGCCAATAAAAAGCAATTGGTTAAAACCAACAACCACTGTGTCCAGGTGGCAGCATCGGGCTCAGCAGGACTTTGTTGGAGTTGCCTTCTGGAAAGGGCTCTGAGAGATTGGTGTCTGGGAGATGCCTCTGTTGTGAGGGACTATTGTTATGGCCAGGAGAATCCTAAAGACAAAAGGCTTCACCTCCAACAGGAACAGCTGCTGAGGACACACTCTGGGCTTGCTGGGGGAGGCGAAGAGGAGCTCCGCCAAGAGGTGTGCTGGAAGCACCATTAGAAGCCCTTGCTGGAGGCGCTACCCTGTAGCAGCAGTGAGAATCATCTAGATAGTTTGTTAAAATGCAGATTCCTTGGTCCTACTCCAGACCTACTGAATTGGGATATGCATTTTAAACAAGCTTCACAGATTTGTCTGAGGCATGTTAAAGTCAGAGAACCATTGACAGAAGCTTGGGCTGATTCCAGTGCGTCGCAGCCTCTGCCAGCTGGTGTGGAGAGATGTTTTTGTTTTGTTTTGTCATACTCCCCTTCCCAGCAGTCTGCATGGAACCTAGACTGACTTCTCAGATCTTAGATGGTCACCAGCCCTCAAAGACCAGGGAGGGTGTAACCCGGAAAAGACTTTTGTAAATCAAAGCATAACTTTCTTTGAGTTATTAGATGTTATGCCCTTTTCTGAGGACAACTAGAGTGGGCATTTGGTTTTCAGGAGCTGTCTGGTTAAAATGATTTTCTTTAGAGAAAAATCTCAATTGTGGTAGGTGGGCGTTGTCTGGATTCCTCCTGTAGGGTCCTGCGAGGGAGAAAGGGCTGTCCTGGTACACTTGGCTCCAGTGAGTGAGGTGTTTTGAAGGTGACATCTATTCTCCTTATCTGTCAAAGATAGATGAGCAGGGACTTGGTTGCCGCGGGGGATGTTACCGCCTTGGTTTTCCCATCAAACTCTGTCAGGCTTTGTAACTTGAAGGAATGAAAGAGGGAGTGGGAGAGGGACAGTTTCTAACGAGCTGTCAGCAGGGTCCCACCAGCCTGCCTTAGCCCAGACTTTGTTCCAATGCTATTAGGGTAAAAATCCTTGAGTTTCTCTCAGACAAAAAGAAGTGGCCTGGGGCTGAGAGGCACAGATTCATAAGCAATTTCCCTCATTATACACTTCCAGTTCTTAATCACCATTTCAGAGAGGATGAGCTATCAGAGCAGACTCTGAGAATTTTGCCCTAGACAAGATGCACAGCCCTCATACTGTAGCTTAATCAGTGTGCTTTTCTCAGCTGCTAAAAATGGGGGAGACCTGGCTCTCAGCATGGCTGAGCTGTAGGAGACCTTTTGTCCCTAGTGATTTTTAGGCCTGGGACAAGGGAGAATTTACAAAGTGCTAATGTAGAGATCTTTCCAGAAGTGGGATCTGCTCGCACGAATGAGATACCCAAGGAACCAGAGAGGTTATTAGCGACAATGCCAAGTGTAACATCGGGGGTGTGGGGGGAATGTATCTGGAAAAGTCAGACTAACACAATTCCAGTAATCCCAGAATCGAAAAGCTACAGGTTTAATAACAAAAACCTTGGTGCCCTAGCAGTTTTTGTTTGGTGCAGGAATTATAGATTTATTTTTTGTTAGCCACTCTGCTATTTATTATAAAATTATGCATTTAAGACTATAATATTAAAATAATAATTAGCTTAAATAGTCTGTAATCCAGGATTACAGATGGTATGACAAACAATAGCCCTGGAATGCACTTGGAATAGTTACACGAGTAGTGCATGGATACATTCTTGTAAAATATTTAGAAGTTTACACAGCAAAAAGTCCCTTTCCCTCCCATTCCTCTTCCCAGAGGTAACCACTGTCAACAGTTCAGTAAGTATATTTCAGTCATCTTTCTGAACATTTACATACACATGTATGTATATATGCACACTCATCTTTTCGCATGAGATCATATATATTGCTATGTAACTTAAAAAAAACCTGAATAGTACATATATCTTGGAGATATTTTCATAGCAGTACATATGAGTCTTCCTCATTCATTTCCACATTAGCACAGTACTGCGTTATCGGGATGTGCCCTACTTAGGGAATCACTCACTAACTGGTAGACATTAAAATTGTTTCCAATATGTTTGCTATTACTAACTTTTAAAAATGATGTATACCCATGCTGCACTGCTGACCCACTGATTCAGAATCTTTGCGAGTAGGGCTTAGGCTTTGGATTTTTTCAGAAAGAAACTGGAAAATTCTAATGTGAGGCAAGGATTGAGAATCATGATCTACACATTAAACAAAATAAAACAGAACTCTAGAGCATTTTAAGATAGTACAATCAATTATTATGGAAGCAATCAGAGACAGTCAAATAGTCACTGATTAATTTTTAATCATTTACTCTGAAAACACCTTGAGTAAATCAAGTTATCCAAGTGAAAATAAATATGATATTTAATAGCTGCATGGCATTTTTATCTTTGGGAAGGCTTTCCTTTTTTAATCTCAGCATCTTCAATTCAAAGCTGTGAGCAAGGTGGGCCAGGAATGACCTTGTCTATTTTACAGTCCTGGAAGCTGATGGGGGTAAAATGATGCTTCTCAATTTTAATATGCTTAGGAAAAATCTGGGAATCTTCTTAAAATGCAGATTCCAACTTAGTAGGTCAGGGGTGGGCCTGAGATTTTGTATTTCTAACAAGCATGAAGGTGACTCTGATGCTGTTGATCTGAGGACCACACTCATTAGTAAGCACCTGGATTAAAGGTAGTGAGCTAAATACAATGGAGAACTCAATTCAATAGAAGAAACTGGGTGTCATTGAAATGATGGACACTTAGCATGACGAAGAAAGGAGTTAAAGGAGAAGGGAATATAGGGTGGAGAAGGATGGACGGCAAAGAAGCTCTTCCTCTACATCAGCTAAACAAGGATGCCTTTCATCTTGGAATCCCATGCCCTAAACAGGGGCACATCCTGAATATGGCACTAAAAGCATCCCAAGCCTATTGGCTGTCACACCATCTGTAATCCTGGAGCTTGCCCAATACTATTTCTTGTCTCTGTAACTTTCCCTTCTGGGGGATCCTGATGGTAGCCCATGGGTCCTGTAGTGCTCATCCCACCGCCTTTCACCTTGTTTACAACCCATTCCTTCCTGGGGGAACCAGAGGCTCCAATTCTGAACTTGACTTGTCTCTGCACACCATTTACTCTCTTGGTTCAGTGGTCTTCCAGAGGAGACTTTGCAGCCCAGCGCTGGCTGTTATCTCCGTCAGACATGGAGGAGACACCATAAGTCTCTTGGCGATATCCACTCACCAACTATGACAGTTCCATCTTCTTTGGGCAGTCCCTGTCATCAGTTTTCCTCTCACTCTTTAGAGATTCCTGTCCTGTGTAGGATAAGAATAATAAACATATAAGTACACGTTTCTGATTCTCCCTTCTCTTGATATCTGTTTTTATTTAATTAATAAAGATCTATGTGATTCAGAATAAATTTTTTACTAGTTTTACATTTCTCAACTGAGTCATAAAGATAAAGATACTTGTACCTTACTAATAGAAGCTAGATTTTTTTAAATGCTGTTTTTGCGTTTTTATCATTTGGAACAAAAGAGCTAGAAGCACTAATAAGATAATAAAGGTATTATTTTAATGGGCCATTTTCTCTTGAAAACATTGGCTTCCAAAACAGATTCCAGAAATTTAAGATTAATATGTGCAAGCTGTAGGGTCTAAGAGGTGCTGCTGGGGTGGGAATTAGAAGGGGAATGCTATCCACGCTGGAGGGAACATTCTGAGGGGAAAGAACTGGCCTCAACTAGATGAATTCCCCTTATTAATATGCTTTCACGTTCCTTTTCCATGAAAGGACAAACAGCACTCACCATGGCTGTAATTTTAGCAATTTTATTTGTGCACTGCTTTTATTGTCTGTCTCCCCCATTAGATTAGAGAATTCGTGAGGACAGGGACTTTGTCTTTTTGTTCACCATGTTATCTTTTTCTTTTTTGGCCACACCGTGCGGCTGTGGATCTTAGTTCCCTGACCAGGGATTGAACCCAGGCCATGTCAGTGAAAGTTCCGAGTCCTAACAACTGGACCACCAGGGAAGTCCCTCACCATGTTATCTTTAGCACCCAGTGCTATGCCTGACACATAGTAGATGGTCAATAAATATTGATAAAATGAATGAATGGAAAAAATCATGAAGAAAATTATGAAGAAAAAGAAACAGTGGTATTATGTTACGAGATGGAGTTTTAATGTAACTAAGGTTAAAACTATAATTAAAAGTAAAAAATAAAAGGCTCTCAAGACTACAAAGCTGATAAATGGAATATTGCCTGCCATATCAGTAAAGAAAAGATGTCACAGTCATCAGCAATTGCAGCCACAGCCAGTGGTGAGCTGGTGAGCCCTGAGGGAACTCAGGAAGGAAAAGTGTACCTGCCATCTAGCAGCCATCAGGCTGCAGCTGCTCCCTAGGGTGAGCCCTGAGGAAACTCAGGATGAGAAAACACAGGATACTGGCCCCAGTTAGCTGAAGTACATATCAAAGGAATGATTTCAGTGAGCCCAGACTCTTGCATCTTCCCATACATAGAAAAGCAATTAATTCCTTAACTTGAGATTTCTAGTTTTCTTTAATTAACAGTAATCATTTGTTCCTACTACCTGCCCTTTGTCGCAAAACTCCTATATATCCTAGCTCCCCCCTCACCTCCTCAGAGCAGTTCTCTCAGGGTTATTTGACATGCTGCCTCCTGGGCTTGAAGCCCTAAAAATTCCCACCAAATAAAACATTACTCTCAACTTTTAGGTTGTGAATATTTTTTCAGTCGACAAAGCTTAGCTACGGAAGAAGGATTCCTGATTGGAAAAGTTGGAGACCCATTGCTTTAGTCATGTGGAAGATTAAAACTCACACCTTATCCCTTTAAATAATTTTGACATTGTTAGGTCATTTTTCTTTGTAAGCCCTATGCCTCTTCCATTTCTAGAGCAGGATGTTTCTCTGTTCCGAACTTGGAACTCTTGTATGGAAATTAATATGATGTCAGAAAGCAAATACAGTGACTTCACCACAGAACAAGGACCTCCTGTGGTCTTTTTAAACTCAAGTAATGAACCAGTAATACATTTTAAATGTTTTTTAAAATATGCTCTACCTTAAGGAGAAGTTGTGGGATTAAATTTTGGTATGCATTAATATAAAATATTCTGAAGTCCTTGGAATAAAAGCACAATATAATATCTAAAACCAGAACATCTCATGCATTCTTTCACTCAATAAACTTTTATGACACCAGAGGCCATATGGCACAGTGGAGCAGGGACCCTGAAGATAGGCTGTCTAAATTCATATCCCAACCATTTTATGGTTGTGCCATTTTGGGCAAATTGTTCCAGTGCTTTTTGCCTCAATTGCCTCATCTGTTAAATGGAACAATAAGACAACCTACTTCCATTGTTATTGTAATTTGAGTTAGTTTTTATTGAGCACTTAGAACAGTACCTGCCATATAGTGAGCACTATGTACATGGTTTTAAATAAACAAACTCCTGTAATGTGCCAAGCAGGTACTAAGCACCAACAGGCTTCCAGGAAATTAGTGAGCTAGTATCTACTGAACACTTGCTATGTATCAAGCACTAATCTGTAGGCAGTTTTGTATCCATTTTTATGACAACTCTGCTGGAGATATCATCCTCCTTCATTCCTTCAGCCAATATTTACTGAGTGTTCACTAGATGTCAGGAGCTGTTTTTGGTCCTGAGACACAATGTCTTGGGATTTATGTTTTAAAAAATTACTATTTTACTAACAAGTGATTTTCAAGAGCTCCCTTGATTTCCAGATCAGCTCAAAACTGTAGTGTGTCACATTAATCTTTATTAAAACATATTCTCATAACTTCTGAAGTTTTAAATTACTACATTTCTAGAGCTTTGTAGAACTATTTTCCTCCCTCTGTCCATTCTACTTAATTACCATTATTAGAGACTATCTTAATTTTGTAATCTTGTTGTCTCTTTCAAATGTTATTTTTTCAATAAAAACTTGATTTTTTAGGTTATAAAATAACACCTTTGTTGGAAAGTATGTCATTGTTTATTTCTCTATTAAAGCAATGCTGCAATGCATAGTTGTATATGACTGTCTCTCTTTGTAAACTTGTATAAATGTCTTTAGGATAGATTCCTAAGAGGAGAAATTGCTTGATGAAATGGTATACACATTTTGACTGATATTGCCAAAATGCATTCTAAGAAAAGGGTTTATCGAGTGACACTCTCACCAATAGTGCATGAAAGTGCCTACCTTACCCTGCCCTCTCAACGACACTATTTTATCCATATTTATAAATATTTTTGTCAGTCTGATGGGCAAAAATGGATTAATTGGTGCGGTTTCAATTTTATAATGAGTATGATTTTTGGTCCATTTATTGGCCATTTGTATTTATTCTTTCCTGATTGATTTCTCTATATCCTTAATTCATTTTTGTATCAATACAATTAAGCGCTGAGTATCTACTAGATGTGACTGATAAGCAGGCTGCAAATATTTTTTCCAAGTCATCATATTTTAATTTATGGTGTCTATCGTCAATGTTTTTCTTTACGGCTTCTGAGATTGTGTCGTGATTGGGAAAGTCTATTCCACCCCAGTACTGTTTCAAAAATCTCCACTATCTTCCCTATTTTGTTTGTAGTTTAAATATTTAAATTTCAAAAAATTGCTACAGTGATAGCAATAATGATTAAAAATAGTACTTAATTTTCAGTAATTAACAGAAGTCACATATTCTGGAAATCAAATAATAACAGAGTTTCTTTTAACGTGATAGTTTTCTTCATGTAAATGTTTAATTATATGCTAGACATAAATGACCTGTGAAAGCATTTTATAGAGGCGCCTCTCTTTTCTGGCATATATTCCCATGTTTATAGAAAATGGCTGAGAAAATGGTTAGAGAGACCAGGACAGAACCTCTCTGAGGGGAGTGAGAATTTAAAACAAAGTAGAAGTCTTTCGATTACCTTGTTCTACACATCCCTATCCGCAGAGTGAAAGTCCTGTATTTTTTTCCTGTTTTTGCCCAATCAACAAAGATGTGCTTTGGAAAGCAGGTGATTTGGAAGATAGTTATTAAGAATTAATTCTGGATGAAAAAGTTACAGAGATCTGTTGTATACAATGTGCATGTAGCTAAATCTACTGTACTATACACTTTAAAATGGTTAAGATGGTAAATTTTATGTTATGTTTTTTACCATAATTAAATAAAAAGAGTTAATTCTGCATTAGAGTGTATTTTTTAATCAATCAACAAATATTTGAGTGTCTATTATGTACCAAATATCTTGTTGCGGTGCAGGATACCAGGAAATATAATTGGTGGTTTCAGTTCTCAAGGAACTAAGAAGCTATCAAGTTGGAGAAAAAAGTTAAGTATGCATGAAAATGTACAATCTCAGGCAATGTAATGATACCAAATGAGGAGAAGAGACACAAATTCTTATAGGAGTTTAGAAAAAGCAGGAATCTGACTACAGTGATAGAAATATTTGTTAGGTACTTAAAGGGCTTTCAAAGCACTTTAACATATATTTTCCAAATTGACCCTTTTACCAGATCTAGGAGACATTATCTCCGTTTAACAGATGAGGAAACAAAGGCTCAGAGGTCGTAATTTTTCCAAGTTCACACGGCAGAACTGGGAACTAGACTCAGGTCTTCCAGTTCTTACTCCTAGTGGGATTTATTTAAGTTGGCACTGAAGTTTTGCTGCCAGAAAGTTTTGAGGGTTACAGCAGAATCCAAATGTGCCAGGGACACTATGGTTATGTATTAGCTAGAATTATGATTATTCTCTCCTCGCTGTCATCCTGCCAAAGAGCATCAAGTAACTTTTAATACAAAATAAGGGATTATTTTTTTCTTGCTAGTTACTGCATAGAGAAACTCAAGTCAAACTGCAATTGAATGAGGACTAACATGCAAGACTTTAATTTCACCACTGTATACACACAGCCATTTAGCCAACTGCAGTCCCATGACAGACATTCCTTACCCATCATGTCTGACATCATTCTTTAAAGTCATAATACATATGGTACAGGTCTGATCTGACCCAGGTGTGACAGAAAGGAAAACTAACACAGACAGCAGAATAAAGTCAGTGAATTCAAATTTAAAAGCAGTTATCAGGGCTAAGACCATATGACTTACACACATTTTTAAAACCACATCCTGCTAGTTCAGTGGACTGACTTCTCCCCAGAAAGTGCTTAGGTCTGTTCATACAATAACCCTATCTGATTGCCTAGGGTCAAGCTACTGTTTATCTCTGTCAGACACAACCCATATCCTGAACAGAGCCCATATCCTAAAACCTGCGTTTTTCACCAATTACTTCAGGGCAATACAGGATCTGACGTTCTTTCTACATAATCACCTAAACAAGAAAAATACTCTAATTTTTTGTTTTTTTAATATTAGGTAAAAGTAAACGCACAGGCACAGTGGTCAAGAGCTTTGCTTTTCATTTTCCTTCTCGTTGAGTGCTCAACGTTTTGCAAAAGAAGGGCAGTGCTGCCCTCTACTGCAGGATGCTGCAATGTTCACAGTACACTTCTACATCCACGCATCACCCCGCACTCCACCCCAGACATGTCGGGTAGAGGAAGACAATCTATTACAAGGTTTTACACTACCCCTTTAGGAGCTGTTTAAAAGAAATGTGTTCTTGGAAAATACATTGAATTTGTTTCCTTCATTATCTCTTCATCTACCTTCCTCTTGTATCAAAGCATAGGACTTTTAGGACATGACCTAACAACAAAAAAAAGGATATTACAATTTGGGGGAAAAATGCTTAAGACATTGCTCTAGAGGTAAGAGGTTGTGTTTTGATGCATTTAGGGAGAAACGGGGCAAGGGGAGGAAACTTTCTTCTGACTTTAAGGTCTGTAGCCTTCTGGTCTTCTGTCATTTGGTGCGCTTTCATCAGCTTTTAGCTAGGCTGATCTATTTCCTTCTCTGTATTTCTCTGACTGGAGATGACAGTCACCTGGGCATGTTAAGAGAGTAGTGGAATAGGGTGTCTAAAACACTCTCTACTCTTCAGAAAAAGATCATATAGAAATACTAAGGGCTATTATTAATAGAGCTACATTTTAATTAATTATTAAATGTCTTGTTACCTTTAAATTGCTTTGAGATTTTACAGATCTCTACAAAGATTTCTTGAAGGGTTGAAGATATTAAGAATTATGTTCTGTTTTCTTTTCCATTAAAAAAAATTTCAGAGTACATGCCCTCAAGAGGCCACGGCAGACAGACTTTAAAGATAGTCTAACCATTACCTTATAGCTACCCAGGAACTAAATTGTAATTTTCATGATAATAATTTCTACAACTGTGTTAAATGCATGTGTGTGTGTGTGTGTGTGTGTGTGTGTATCAACACCAAGAAAAAAATCTTTTTCCCCCCAATTGACAGATAAGAATACTAAAACTCAGACATATTAATTTACTCAAACTTTCAAAACTAGTAAGAGGCAAAACCAGAATTTGATTTCAGAATTTGATTGAAAGCCTAGGTATTGTTCTACTATGCAGCTGATCAACGAACAAACTAAACAAATCTCAAAGGCACATGCTTGTAAACAACATCTGTGATGATGACAATGATAGTTAACATACTGAGTACTTACTAAGTGTCCAGTACAATTCAAAGCATTTTAGAGTCAATCATTTAATAACATTAAATCATTTAATCCTCACAGCAACACCATGAGGTAGAAATATTATCTCCATGTTATAAGTAAGGAAACTGAGGTATACAGACGAAATCTAGTCCCAGAGGCCACGCTTTTAACCATTATGCTACACTGCTTCTTAAGTAAAGTGCAAAAATTATATAGCACAACAATTTCTAAATGGTGCCCTGGAACTTAGTTCTATTAATAAGTAGATAAAACCCATCCATAGTTGTCAGTCCTGTTGATATCTGTTATACAAAGGCCTCAGCAGCTTTAAAAAATGTTCTGCCCATGTAGGTGCCTAGTTTAGAACTAACATTAGACCTTGTCCACCGCAGGCCTCACTAGACATGCCCTTCTATGAAATAGGAAACAGCAAGAGACCTTCACTTGGTCCAGTCCATGTGTGCAGGTGGGGAGACAAGTCATACATAAGGGAGGGAGGAGAGAAGTGAGGGAAGAGATGCAAGGGGAGATGGTTCCACCAAGGCACAGCCAGGAAACAAGCCAGTTAAGCTGAAGGGAGTGGTTGATAAGCGATCACTTTCCTTAGCAAGAGTAAACTCAATCCAATCAGAAGCCAGCACCAGCTTAGGGGCTCTACTCTTACTTTCTTGCCCACGATTTGGTCACACGGTGACTATCAAACAGATCTCCTCTAACAGCTTTGGTTTTTTTAAATTTTTATTGGAGTATAGTTGATTTACAATGTTGTGTTAGTTTCAGTTGTACAGCAGTGACAGCTTTGGTTTTTAAAGAAACTTTTGTTCAATGCATAACTCAGCTTCTAAATAATATCCTACCCTTAGTGACAACATATACCCAAATATAACCATTCCAAAGCGCTTTGTGCTTAAGTACAAAGTGTGATAAACTCCTCCCTCTCTTGTTGCTAAGCATAGACCTTCTGGGTATCAGCGGCAAGATTAAGTACAATAAGCAGGTGTGGATTTGCTTAGGGGTCCATGCAGTGCCCGCTACTGCCCTGGCCTGCCTCTTATGCTATGTGGCAGTGCTGCCTAGCCCCAAAGGCTTCAGATTTCCAAGCGAGTATATTCTAAAGGAATTCATTCCCGATCAAGCTGTTGCTATGTGGTTCCTACTTCCTCCCTTCCAATTCTTTTGGAAGAAAAAAAAAAGGCAGAAGGGAGATGGTAGGGACAGATAGTCATAATGAAGTCAGGAGCCAGGGGAATACCTGCCCCTTTTCCTTCTGATCCTTACTGCCCTTTCCCTGGACACTCACTTTACCTGGCTGCCTACTAGTCTGGGCAATGTTTGCCTCTCAAGAATCTTTTGCTTGAATTATCCATTCAGCAGGGAGGCTGTCTTGCATCCATTCTAAGTCAAAGTGTTAAAATTAGTGATGGCCTGGAAAGCATTTTGTTTACTTCAATACAGGCATTTTGCTTAGAGGGGCAGGCTGCAGGGCTCAAGATAGAAGGCTACTGAACTTAAAGTAATCTCCAAGAAACACATTCCCGAGGAAAAAAGTTTGAGACTTGCATCCCACATAATATGCAATCCCTTCCCCCAACACCCAGTAACTGTTTGCCCCTTTCTAAAATTCAGAACAGATAATTATGGGGACATGAAGAAAAACTGCATATGGTACTTTCTATGCCCCTGTCAGCACTGACTTGGTTATGGGGCTGCTTAGGTTGCCAATAAATATTTATTTGGACTTAGCTAAGTTGATAATGTTTAGGTAATTTAGGGTTGTTTTTCCCCCAGGGAATGACGTAAGGCATGACCATGACATTGTTGGCCAACGCTGTGAAGATCATACTTTTAAATCAAACTTTGGTAAGGCTGGGCTATATAACATCTCACTCAGCAGCTGCCCTTTGCCTCTGCTTATGGAAGCACCACAAGTTCATTGTCATTTCACCTTCAGTGTTGAACTCACAATCTTAGAGGAAAGTGTTGTTAATGAAACACTGTTGACAGTTATCTTTAAAACCAGAGGCTGTTTCTGAAAAGAAGCAAATGATACAAAGGTTGGCAGGTGTTGCACAAAGTACTTTTGGCTTATGTTTGTTACTCTGAATGAGATTCATTTTGAGATTTGTCATATTATCCAATGAACAGAGGGTAAGGTATTGCTTTTTTCTGAACCAACAGAACTGACTCCTCCTGCCACCATTTATTGAATACTTACTAAGTGCAAGAAACTAAGGGAGACTAATACAGGGTTAATATCTCTAGCCAAAGGAAGTTTACCATCTACAAGGGGTGTGCATCTGTGCAATGATGACAATAGCTAACATTTAGGGAGTGCTTACTATATGCAACTAAACACTTCATATGTATTAACTCACATAATCCCCACAACGACCCTACGAAAAGTACTATTATCTCCACTTTATGGAGCAGGAACAGAGAGGTTAAGTAACTTGCCTAGCCCTGACCAAGTTAGTAAGTGGTAGCATTAGAATCTAAACCTAGGTAGTCTGGCTCCAGAACTAGGTTCTTAACTGGGCATTTTGGTCATTTTCCACAATTGTAATATTGCCAAGAAGGGACAGAAGCACAGGAAAGAGAGAGGGATTTTAACCAGAGTGAGGGTTAAGGCAAAGCTTTAGGGAGGAGGCATTTGCTCTGGATCTTGAAGGTCAACAGATGGAGAGAGGGGCTGGGGAGGAAGGAATAGCCTGACTAAAAGAAGAGACAGTCTGAATACCAGCCAGCTGACGACAGCAAGATCTGGTTGAGTGCCTGCGTGGGAGAAAAGCTGGAGGGGGAGGCCGCGCCCAGATCCGTAAGGTCCGTGAGGACCAAGCTCTCTCGGTAAGGAAAGGGGAGCAAAAGCTTCAAACTGTATGAGCGGCAGAAAGGAATTCCCGGACACTTTCTCTTTTAGTAGGATGGCCCCCTGTCTGAAACCAACGCAGGTGGCCCACCCACATTTCTCTCAGGGGGAAACAGCCGGCCGAGATGGTCAAGGTCGTCCGCGCGCGCTCCGGAGCTGCGCGTCCTGGCCGAGGACTCACTACCCGTGCGCAGAGGCGGATTTGGCTGCCAGCCCGAGCCGGGCCACACTGGGTCAGGAACGTGCGCACCCCCGGGCCTGGCAGGGAGAACACCAGCGCCACGGGTACCGGAAGGGCGGTCCTCCAGCTACCTGCCACCAGCCACCTCCCGCCAGCTTCCTCCAGCTTGTCTCCGGGCGCCTGAAGGTCGACGAAGCTGCCTCCCGCGTACGCCGCTCGTCTCCTCCCCTCAGCGACCCAAGGAACAACGGCTTCAGCGATAGGAGCACGCTCTGCCAATCAACTCTATCCCCGCCCCATCCCAGCCGGCGTACGTTGCATTGGTTGCATCAATACCGGCCTCCGATAAGATTCTCTTCTTGGATTGGCTAATACCATCCTGTTCCTTTTGCGTCAGAAACTCGCGATTGGTTAACCGCGTTGCCAAGTTCCGGACGCGGCTCGACCATTGGAGGCCGCGGGCCCGCCCCTGCCGGCTAGGTGAAGGTGAGAGTCTCCTCCAGTCGCCGCGGTTGGACCGGACCGAGCGGCTTCAAGCGCAGAGTGGAAGCTTTCGGCCGACTCCAGCTTTCTAGCTATGGCGCCTCCATCAATCTTTGCCGAGGTTCCTCAGGCCCAGCCGGTCCTTGTCTTTAAGCTCACTGCTGACTTCCGGGAGGATCCGGACCCTCGCAAGGTCAACCTGGGAGTGGGAGGTAAGGATGCAGTGCCCAGGAGTGTGAGCAGCCTGGGAGTGGAGCGGGCCTAACCCCCCTGGCTGTGGGGACCGTAGGAGATAACCAGGTCCAGCTTAGCTCCGTCGGAGAGGAGGAAAGATCCATGAGGCTTAGTTCAACCTGCCCATTTTACAGATGGGCATATGGAGTCCCTGGAAAAGGGAGATGTATCAGTGTACACACAGAAAAGGTGTAGCAGTCAGGGCACAAACTCAGTTTTTCCGATTCCGCATTGTGTGTTCTTTATACTGCATCCTTTCGCCTCTTAAGAAATGGGGCGGCCAGGGATTGAAAGGAGAGGGATAAAAATAGGAAGTCTTATAGGCTTGGAGTCCTGGCTGCTGGGGAATGGAAAAAGGAGAACTCTTAGCCCTAGGGAGCTCTGGTCTGGGTCGGTAAATGTTTGAGCTATCAATCAGGTAGTTTACCAAGCCTTGTGCGGGGAAGACTGAGTCTTGGTTTTGGCCCCAAGGAGATTAAAATCAGCAGGTGTTAAGTGATGTAATAGAGATCTAAAACGCTTCTGAGACAGGTTAATGCTCCCTGGGGATCTGGGAAGAATGTTCTGGCTCTCACAGATGTGGTGGGAATGGTAGAAATGGTGGTAGAGATGGTAGAAAAGAGAGGAAAGAGTGTGGACAGTAGAAGCTCACTTTCCACACATCCTTGTCATCATTTCTTGCTTGTATTTCTTGGACAGCTCAGAGCATGGGCCTCAGTTTTTCCTACTGCCAAGAAAAAGATTTGGACTGAAATGCCTCTGAAATTCCTTTAACTCTTATCTTAATCTTATCTGGTGAATTTGTTATTTCTGTCACTGTCATTTGGATGTTTGAAGCCACACCAACACTTACTCAACCACATAGAAAGATGAGCCAGGGAGAAGAGAATGAATAGGACAATGTTCTGTGCTAGGGAACAGACTTAGAGCAGAAAGACTAGAAATTTCTGAAAGAGAAAATTGAACTGTTTTGTAGCAGAGAAGCAGTGGCGAGAAGGAGGTGCAGAATCAGGTGTCCCACAGTGACAGTGTCTGTACATAGAACCTGTTAAAGTCTTCACCAAGGAATATGCAGGAGGGGTGAGGAAAAAGCCATTAAAAAGTGATGGTTTGGGCTTCCCTGGTGGCGCAGTGGTTGAGAGTCCGCCTGCCGATGCAGGGGACACAGGTTCGTGTCCCGGTCCGGGAAGATCCCACATGCCGCGGAGCGGCTGGGCCCTTGAGCCATGGCCGCTGAGCCTGTGCGTCCGGAGCCTGTGCTCCACAACGGGAGGGGCCACAACAGTGAGAGGCCCGCGTACCGCAAAAAAAAAAAAAAAAAAAAAAGTGATGGTTTGTTGAACCTGGGTAATGGGTACATGGGCATCCATTATATTATTCTCACAACTTTTGTGTATGTTTGAAATTTTCCATAATAAAGCATAAAAAAGTCAATTCAGAATACATAGTTTCACCCACAGAGGGAAAGTGATGTTTTTAGCAGGCAGCAAAGTGGAAGTAATATTGAAAGATTGCCTTGAATTGAATTGGAATGAGCACTATTCAAGCTCTTAATTTAAAACCAATCCAAAACCTCCAAGTATTCCTTTAGGGCCGGATGTATCGTGAAGAACTAGTATTGATATTAATCCAAATACATGTTTTTAAAACCTTAGGTTTCATTGGCTCAATTACCCTTGAACTATCTTACAGGATTTTGGTGAGGATTAAATGCATTTAAAGTGCTTAGAACAGTCTCTGGTACATAAGTAGGAGTTATGTAAGTATTAGCTGTTACTGTAGTTGTTTTCGCATTTCTTTGCATAAAAGATATTGAATAAAAATTTTCAGCTCAAGAACTGCAAAATGAAATAATTTCTGACATTGGTTCAGAAATAAATTGCTAATGCATAGAAAAAGCACCCTGCCAGCCAAGGCCAGAAGTGATTGGCTCAGAAGCATATTCTGCAGCCCGGATAGTGGTCAATTCAACTGTGAAAGTGCCTTTGTCATGTTTTCCTGGAACCGAGGAATTCTTTCTCTTTATTACAAGCAAATGCTTTATGCAGTTAATTGCATTTAGTGCTTAGGATGACTCTGGAGGGTTGTTTATTACTATTACTGTTTTAGAGGTAAGAAAGCTGAAGCCCAGATTGATGAAGCATTTTGGTCGAGATCACATGGCTGTAGTTGGTAGAGCTGGGATTCTAGGCCACATTTCTCAGATCCCTAGGTCTCTGCCCCCTTCTCTATTGGGCACCTTCAGGTGGTCCAGAGGGAGCCAGTGTATGGTAGTGGAACAGCCAGGAGACCTGGGTACAGGCCCAGGCCTGCGGTCCAGTGATGTGACCTTGGGAGTATTATTTACATCCCCGGACCCAGTCTGTTAAATGAGGAGCCAGAACGGAATGACCTCTCTCTAAAATTATACTCTAAGATTCACTAGCATGTTACATGACTGTAGTATAGAATAATAATGTTACTGGCTTCATCAGATGACTGAGAATTAAATGAATAATTATGTGTGTGAAATATAAATGAAAAGTGTTGTATAAATGTTATTTTTGATGATCACTGTGACCCGTCTTTTTTGTGGATGGCAGGTGCTCAGATAAAGGTCTCATTGAAGTATAGTAGAATAAGAAGTCTCTTTACGGCTTTTGTATGTCCTAGCTCTATTTATACACATCCCGAAGTATATCCTTTGTGAAGGAAATGTATTGATAATTAATCTCTGACTTTGGTGAAGATGCCCTTTTTTTTTTCTAAGTTAAGATAAAGCTTAATGGAAGTTAACCAGCTCAAGTTCTAATGATGTTGGACATTTAGAACAAACTGCAACTATAATCTCATTAGCTCATTCCTACTTGCAGATAGCTTCCCCAGAGATTTTCTTCTTGCTGTGACTATTTGCATAATTTCCATATACTTAAACAGAGCAGAGCATCACATTTTTCACTGTTAAATATGATGCTCTTCGAGTTGGCTGTTTTAGCGCTTCGTAAAGTTTCAGACAAGTGACTTTAGGGGCAGGGGAGATATGAGTTCATTCAGCCTGATGCAGCCTGAAGCAGGACATTTCTACATAGACTCCAGTCTGTTCATCATGTAAACTTGGCTTTCTTTTGTTCCAGGTAGACTGTGCTTGCTTTCATATTTGTTGTTGTTTTTAATATGGGTTCTTAGCATCTTCAAATAAAGTTGTGGGAGAGACATGCTGTATCAGGTGTTTCTGAGTACCCCCGGTCCTCTCCGCAGGACCCTAGTTGGAGAAGGGCCTTAAAGAGGCATATGTGCATGGGCTGTTGGGTAGGGATGGATGGGGGAAGTGGAGATCTTAGGAGGAGGAGGAGGGTGATGGTTTGATCATCTAATTCTCCGTGTTCTTCTGGAAATCGAGACTCAACTGCAACCTGTGTGACTCCTCTAAAAGAGCTGGTCCTCAGGGAGAAGGGTGTGGTGTGTGGAGCTGAGGGGCATGCTGGTAGGTAGAAAGGCCCCTTGCACAGTCAGTCCTCTGGGACCTGCTGGCTTCAGGCTTTCCCTAGACATCTCTTGCTCTTTAGAAAAAGCACAGGGATCCATGAACTTAATATTAATAGTATGACAGCCTAACTCTTACAGTTCTTGTGATCTTGGGCGAACTTTTCCGGCCTCAGTTTGCAGATCCCGAAAATAGAGATCATAATATCTATTTTGTGAGTTGTTATAAGAATTAAATGAAAGTAAAAAAAATGTGAAGTATTTAGCACAGTGCCCTGCATGTAGTAAGTATTCAGTAACTCCTTGTTATTACCATGGCTTCAGCCACCGTCCATGTCTATAATTATGAAATCTTTCTTTCCATCCTGGTCTTCTTCCCTGGATGCCAGACCCATATTCGCTACAGTTTGCTGGACACGTTGTACAACCACTTCAAATTCAACGTGTTTAAAACAATGCATGGATTCCACCCTCCCCTCAATCTTTTCTTTTTTCTTCTGCTTTGCTCTATATCTTGGTTGCCCTCTCCCCTGCCCCACCCCCACTAGTCTTTATCCAGACCAGAGAGAGACTTTGGAGGTTGTCGGTGACCCTTTCATCAGTCCCATGTATATTTATTTGGTCACTAGGTTCTGTCTTTTTTACCTCATAAATTTATTTTGAATGTCTCCCCTTTTGTTTATCCCCGCGGCCGCTGCCGCTGCTGTGATTCAAGATTTCACTATTTCCTTCGTGGATTATTGCAGCAGCCTCCTGACTTCACTGTCTGCTTCTGTCCTCCTTCCAGTTTATTTTCCATCATGTCACTCAAATGATTCTGTTAAAATGTACAGCTGTCCATGTCACTCTCTTGCTTAAATGCTTTCAATGGTTTCCCCATTGAGACAAAGTTCCTTAGAAGAGACCCCAAGACTCCCTGAGCCATTCCTTGCTGTTTCTCCATGGATCTTACATCCGAGCCATGAAAATGCAGATCCTCAAGAGCCTCATCTCTTCAAGCCTCTGGGGCCTTGCACAAGTGTTCCCTCTGTCTGGAAAGTCCTTTTTCCTGTCTTTTAAACTCTTATTCATCTTTTATACTTCATCTTCCCTGCTCACTTACAGGAGAACTAAGGACTCTATGCTCTATGTTTCCTGGAGGGAGGCCAAGACAGTATCTTGTTTTATCTTACCCATCTCTGTGTAGCTACTTCTAGCCAGTACCTGGTTCATGGTGGATTCAATAAGTAGCCGTCAAATGAGTGAGATAATGAAAGAATGAATGAGAAACTCACGGGTCCAACAAAACAGGAATAAAACCCCTCTGGGAGAGCAGGAATAGTGGTTGTTGGTAATGCTTAACCTCATTGCTCCAAACGCCCAAGAGTAACTGCAGGTCTCCTTCAGTAGGGCAGTGAGACAAGGCATTGGGAATAAATCTAGAACTGAATCTGGGGGAAACTGGGCAGTGAAGAAGGAAGCAGAGGTGTGAATTGGCCATTTTCTCTTTTGTCACAATATGGACACAATGCCTCCCTGCCTCCAGTCCTATCACAGGATTTTTTAGAGTTGCACAGAGTATACATTACTGGTAAGAACAGTGGTACTATGGCTTTATCTTTCATATTTTATTTATTTATAATACATGATTTACAAATGACATATCATAAATATATGTAGCATAATTATATATTAACCATCCAAACACAGATGGGAAGCATAATAGAACTAGTTTTTCACAAACACCCATATTCTTGTACATCTAAACAGTATCCCCTCTGTGTAGTGTAGTCCATATATACTGCTATTGCTCAAAGTTTTCCGAAAACCCCCTTTTGGAATGGCCTTCAAACCATGTTAGACCCATGTAGGAGGCCATCTTTTTATAGCTGTTCTCCATTAATATTATTCAGTCCATTCACCCACCTACTTTGCTGGACATAATACAAGTACCATTTTCAAAAATTAAATTTACTTTCAAAGGACAAAGATTTGGCATCATTAAGGATATTCAGAATAATGAGATGTCTCCTCTAAAAACAATTCCAAGAGAAGAATTCCAAGAATATTTTGAACAATGGTAGCATTGTGATCATAGATGGGGTGATCTACTTCAGGGAAAACAATTACTTGGGAGTCATTATTTTGGTATCTCTTTGAAAAACCAGACCAAATCTCAACTGATAAAGTAGACTTTTTGAACTTGTTGAGAGGGAGGGAATTTGGTGGGCCAGGGGGTCTAATGTGAGTGATATGACAGTATTGTGAGTCAGATTCATCTACCCAGAGACTGGTTGTTGGTTAGTGGCTGTCAGTCTGGAACTCTCTCCACATTTTCATTACTAGCTTGATGTGCTTTTCAAATTTGCAGATGACACATTCCTGGAAGGTAGGGTTAGTTGATGGAGTAGAAGACAGATGCAAAATCAAAATATCTTATAAAGTCTTATTTGTTGTCTGACTTTTGATCTAGTAATTTTACATCTAGAAAAAGTTTTCCTAAGGAAGCACTCATGAATGTGTAAAGTATAAGAACATTAATTACAATGTTTATATTAGCAAATAGTCAAAAGCAACACAAATAGTTAATAAATTATACATAGAAAGGAATATTGTCTAGCCACTAAAATTGTGTTGTAAATGGCTCATATATGTGAAAAATGCCCAGTTGCCTCCACGATAAGAGAAATGCAAATTTAAACTACGCTGAGATAGCATTTGGACTCTTAAATTGGCAAAAATTCACTCAGTGGCTGTGGCTGTGGGGAAGCAGACACTCTTGTACATTGATGGCAGTGATGTACACTGATAACACACCTGCCCTATGGCAGCGATGTACACTGATAACAGCCCTATAAAAAAGGCAATGTGGATATATCTGTCAAAACTACAAATACACAAAGTATGCTTAAAAGTAATATATTTGCATTTAAGCTTTTCATTGATTGCCACCAGTATTCTTCCAATCAGTTGTTTTAACCATATTTGTCCTACAACCATGTGTTGTAAAATGAAAATCAGTTGAAAGTAGTAAACTAATGTATACCCTCAAAAACAACAACAAAATTACACATACACGTACTTCTCAACCTACTCTTCCATTTTCAATCCTGCCTCTTACAGCTATGTTTACATACATGTAAGATGACATATGTACAAGGTTCACTGAAGTATTATTTTCTAATAGCCAAAGATTAGAAATGACTCAAATGTCCATCGACAGGAGACTCACAAAACAAATTATAGTACATTTATCAGTTATGCAGCTCTAAAAAGAACAAAGACAGTCTGTGTGCACAGACTTAAAGAGTTAATGATGATGAAAGATATTCATAATATATGTTTAATAAGTGGAAAAAAGCATGTTGAAAATTCTATATAAAAAATGACACAATTGATAAAAGAATATACTCATGTAAAATAAAGTTTAAAAGGCTGTACACCAAAATTTTCATACTCCTTATCTCTGAGTGCTGGAATTACATGTTAATCCTAATGTTTATTATTTTCTTTCTGGACTTTTCTAAATTTTCTACAGTCAACATGTGTTGTTCAGTAAACAGTATCAGCCACCCTAAAAAAGTGATTTAAAAAAAAAAGTCAGGGATTAATGTTGAGCAGAAATCAACAAGATAAAGAAGAATTACTCAAAAAATTTGTTTCACTGTTACTTGCCAAAGTATAGGCTTATTGGAGACCTAAACAGTCCAGCAGAAGCAAATCCCTGTCAGGAATCCTGCTCAGACTCTGTCATTGGCTTGGATGCAAGCCAAAGCAGCTGCCCTCTCAAGCTATAATCTCAAAATGATTATAGGGTAGTATAGGGGAAAAAAATCAGTGATAGGATAACTCAAAGTAGACTAAAAATACTTTTAGCATAGAAGAAATGCTTAGAAATTTGCTGTAATCAAGATTAAAAATTATGAAACAGGTAAACTTAGATCCATAAAAGTGTGAAGCACAGGAAGTGACTGGTGAGTGGTAGGAACAGTCAAAATGGTAAACACTGACTGATGTCAAAAAACAGCAAGAGGACAAAGATGCGTTTAAACTTGTTGTTCGATGATTGTGTAACCAGTTGTGAGAAACTTGAGTCACAGGTGTTTCCTCGCCATTTGTCTCATTTCTGTTCTTACAGGACAAGAGGAGGAGGTGGGCCTCCCTCCACCCTCCTCTCTCTCCATGTTTATGTTTGAAGGTGCAGCGTTCATGTGAAGTAGCACCGAACCCTTTTCTTGGGGAGATGCAGAAGGAAGGCGATTACTGGGCCAGTGGTCGTAGAGACCTCAGTGCCCTAGTGATATTGACATAGCATTTGTAAGGTATTTTTAATTTGTGGAGTGCTTTTGCGTGCACTCTCTCACTCGATCAGGCTCTTTGATGTCCCAGTTTTATTTCAGCATTCTACTTTTTGGAGGTCACATATTTAAGAACTATAATTTCCATAAGGATAGGAAACTGTGCTTCTGCCTTCCCAGCACCTAGCCCGGTGCCTGGCCCAAAGCAGGCAGTCAGTAAGTGAATGAACTTTAATTTCCCTCACAGTTCTGTTTGGATTGGAAGGTGGTAGAACTCTCCCTGTTCACAGCTCTGAATTCTTCCTTGGACGAAGCCTAAGACTCCTCCATTGTATGTCTCTTTCCCGTGTCCCAGCTTATCGCACGGATGATAGCCAGCCCTGGGTTTTGCCAGTCGTGAGGAAGGTGGAGCAGAGGATTGCTAATGACAGCAGTGTGAACCACGAGTACCTGCCCATCCTGGGCCTGGCAGAGTTCCGGACCCGTGCTTCCCGCCTGGCCCTTGGGGATGACAGCCCAGCTCTGCAGGAGAAGCGGGTGAGTTTTGGGTGAGGATCTATTTTTTTCCAGAAACTGTGAGGGTAAAAAGTGGTTAAAAATTAGGTGTTATGTCTATTGAACTGTCAGTGAATAAGGGTTTAAATAGTGTGACCTCAGGGACTTGATAGCACAAATAACATGCTTTTGTAAAGCACCGCTTCTTTCTTCAGTCGTTCACTTTTGCCCAAGAGATGATTGGATTTCAGCTGCTGGGTTTGAAGCAGTCAGTGGAAATGCCAGCCAAGGGAATTTAATGGAATGATCAAGAGATTAGGGTCTGGACCCAGCTCTGCCACTACTTTTGACCAAAGGCAAGTCATTTGCCCCTCCAGCCCCTATGTCTCATCTATATGTTAGGAAAAGACTAGTTTATGGTTCATGGTCCCATAAGGAGCATTTGCATAGGGGATCATTCAAGGGGCCTCTGAACTCCCTGAAATTTTAGGCAGAATTCTGTGTGTATGTGTATTTCTGGAGAGAAAGTTCATAACTTTTATCAGATTTTCTGAAGGAACCTATGGCCCCCGAAAGTCCAAGAGCCACTAGTCTAGATGCTCTCTGAAGATCCTGCCAGTTCTAATATTTGATTCTTCTAGCCTTGATCTCAGCTTCTCTTCATTTAAGTGCTTCCTGGTATGTAGTCTATGTATAACTAGAGATACATGGAAGAGAAATGCATTTGGGGAGAGTCTGTATGTGGCAGAAAGTGGTGTGATAGAGATTATCAGTGTTGTAGGAATTCAGAGAGCCTGACAAAGGCTGGAAATGGGACTTGAGCTGAACCTTGGGGAATGAGGCCAGGACACTGGTTCTCAACTGTGACTGTATCACCTGGGAGGTTTTAAAAACATTCTGATGGCTGGATCCCATACCAGACCTGTTAAATCAGAATCTTGGAGGGTACCACCTTTCTCTGCCCTTTTATTACCTTTCCCTACAATTCCCTTCCCTTCATGGGTATTTTTTAAAAGCTCCCCATGTGACTGCAAAGTACAGCCAAGGTTGAGAACCACAAAGTACAGAGGAAGAAAAAGGAGGGGTATTTGTTTGGAGCAATAGGAGTCCAGGGACAGAGGTTGGAGGTGAGCAGGTCTAGGTTGTAAAGAGACCTACCTGATATGGGCTGGGAACATGCTGGATAGATCAGGGAGGCTGATTTTGACAGCTAGGGCAGGGGAAGCCCCTTGAAGTTTTGCGCAGAGAAGTTACCCAATAAGAGTGTTTGAAGAAGATAAACCTGGCTGGATGAGGAGGAAAGGGAAGAGCTCAGGTTTTTGCAATAGTCCAATTAGGTATTGTGCAATTTAAACCAACTTCCCTTATTGCTCTGCTAGGCAGTGTCAGCCCCGCTGAGCAGCCTTCATGCAGATACAGCCTTCATGCATGAAAGAGACCACATCTTGGAGTCACTGATTTATTTCCATGCTGTTACCCAGATGCCCTGATAAGCAGAATGGGCAGGGTAAAATGAAGGCTGCACACAGGCACATTCTTATGTATATCAGGAGACCTGGAGGCTCTGCGTGAAGGTCTTGGAACTAATATCAATGGTTAGATAAGTAATTAACTTGATGAGGGTTTTGTCTGGATTGGTATAAGAGACTGTAACTGACTTGCCTCTAGGAACAGAAGGAATATGGGTAGAAATGGTAGACTTTAGAGATTATGAGTGGCATTGGGAAGTTGCTCTGAAAATCTAGGGTTTCCACTGAGGGAGAGAGTCCTGATGAAGTTTGAAAATGGGGAACTTTGGCAACTGGAGGTGATCTTCTGAGACGTTGTTGATAAATTAGTTGGAATTCCATTGCTGACAAATGAAAACAGAGGTTCTGTGTTGGGGAGCTTCTTCCTCTAAGACTATACATTTCTGATATGATGCTTATTAACTATGTTGGCAGATAGATGCTTGTTCCTCTGCCCAGGAACAAAATGCTCTGTTCTCCATTTTGATCGCTTAATACTGAGGCTTGGGGCTATTGCTTGTGGCATAGAGCCCTTCCTCTTAGTCTAGTTCATCCTGTGTTATGTTTTTGATCATAGAACAAATTTAAATGGCAGTCTGTAAATATCTGAAGGTTTTTACTTTTTACTTTTTGTGTGTGTGTGTGTAATGGTTTAGGATACCCTCTTGGCATCTACAACACCCTGGGTACCAGTTGATACTGAGCTCTGAGCACTTGCTCTTTCCCTGGACCATCCCCAGGTGACTATCTTAGCTCAGCCTACCATCATCTCATTTGGATTCTTGTAATAGCCTCTTGCCTCTAGTCTCTTCCGCATTCTAGTACATTCTGCACAGTACAGCTAGAATGATCTTCCTCAGCAAAAAAAAAAAAGAGCTAATTGTGTCACCTGCTTCCCCTCTCACAGACACACAGTAGCTCCTCCATTATCTACAGGGTAAAATGCAGACTCTGACCTGGGCATGCAGCATGTTTTGTAGCCAGGTGTCATCCTGTTCTTGCAGTTACTCTTGCTCCCATCCTCTCAGGGGCCTGCCATCCTAAGAGCCTGCTGTTTTCTAGACCTTCCGAGCCTTGCCATGACTTGGCACCTTTGCCTCAGCTGTTCCTTCTGCTAGGAATGCCCCCTTCACTTCTCTGACTCCCCAGTCCCCACCTCCAAGTCCTTCAAGGCCTGAGCAAGGGTCACTTCCATGCTGAATCCTGAGCTCTCTCAGGCAGAGCTAGTTGTTAGAGTGCTCTGAGTCATCACAGGACTGTGCATCGCTTGGGAAAAGCAGTACTTACTGTGTTTAATGTACAATTTTGTAAGCCTGTCCCTCCCGCAAGACCCTAGGTTCCTCCAGGACAGGGGTGATGGCTTATTTACTTACTTAAAAAAAATTTTGTGTGTGTGTGTGTGTATGGTGTGAAGTATGGTTCTTTTATTTATTTATTTATTTGGTTGCGCTGGGTCTTCGTTGCGGCCCATGGGCTCCTTAGTTGTGGCACGTGAACTCTTAGCTGCGGCATGCATGTGAGATCTAGTTCCCTGACCAGGGATCAAACCTGGCCCCCCTGTACCGGGAGCACGGGGTCCTATCCACTGTGCCACCAGGGAAGTCCCAATGGTTTACTTATTTACCTCATGAATCTTCAGCATTTAGCTCCTAGCCTGGCACCTCAGAGATCTCAGATGTTTTAATTCACTCATTCGTTCAGTCAGCAGATGTGTGCTCACCACTAGGCATTGTTCTAGATGCTGGAGCACAGTGGTGACCAAAACCACTGCCCAGCTTACAGTTTTGTGGGGAGAAACCGACAGTAAACATAATAAATAGGAACATTATATAGTGTTTTGAAAGATGATAAATGCTACAAAAACAGAGCAGAGGAAGGCATATTAGGAGTGCTGAGGGTGGGAGTGAGAGTGGATTCAGTTTTAACTGGGGTGGTCATGGTAGAAACAGAAATGACATTTGAGCCAAAACTTGAAGAAAGTGAGGCATGAATGAAAGAATGAACCAGAAAACAAACAGTAATCATGTCCTCTCTTAGATTTTTCTTCTCAAGATTTTACATTACCAGGTCCATCAACCATTTTGAGGAGACCTGTTTTCTAGACTCGTCACTGCCGCCTTCTGCTTTTCCATCTTCGGATCTTAGAATCCAGACCAAATGTCCAATTGTCATCTCCTGTCTGGTAACATTTCAGCTTCTGAAATTACTGAGCCACTGCAGGTAGGAGGGCTTGTGGCTCATGAGATGGCGTCCCAGTTTCCTGCTCAGACCGTTGCCTCTGGGAGACTTGGGGCTTTCTCTGTGGCTCTCACCTTGTCAATACTCTCTTCTTCTTCATCTAGTTCAGCCCATGTTTCTTTAGTACCACATGCCAGATACCACATGAATTGCTAGGAGCACCCAGATCAATGCGTCATAGCCTTGGCCACAAGCAGCTCCTAAACAGCTCTCCTGCTCCTCACAGGGAAGTCATTGCATCAGCAAATTGTGATCTCGGACAAGTGTTCTACAGCCCAGCAGGGATTCCTTCAGGCAATTCATGGCTAAATTGGGAATACAGATTGCTGGCATAGCTTTCTGCCAAGTCTTACTGGATTTCTCTTGTTCTGGATACTCCTGTTTAGCCACCCAGGTCCAGTTGCCTGGCTCCCTTTGAAGTTTGTATTTATTTCCTTTGCTATTATGATTTTTTCCCTTCATCCCAAATACAGAATTTTCTTGAGCTTTACAGCTATTTGCCAAAAATCGGTTCAGAGAATGACCAAATTGACATATTATTGATTCACCAAAAATTCATTTCCGCTAGTTGCTGATATAGTTCAGAGCCACCTGTGTTTCACTGAAGCTATCTAGTGTACAATATATTTTTAGAGGGAATGATAATTTCTTGGGAATTTAATATGTCAAGTGTCATATACATCATGAATATCAAGAATTAGTTACAGGGGCTTCCCTGGTGGCACAGTGGTTGAAAGTCCGCTTGCTGATGCAGGGGACACGGGTTCGTGCCCCGCTCTGGGAAGATCCCACATGCCACGGAGCGGCTAGGCCTGTGAGCATGGCCACTGAGCCTGCGCGTTCCGGAGCCTGTGCTCCGCGACGGGAGAGCCCACAACAGTGAGAGGCCCGTGTACCGCAAAAAATAAAAATAAAAAAATAAAGAATTAGTTACTGTTAGTGAAGTGGGTTTATCTCTTCCAAACATATTTCCAATCTAGTCTACTGACTTTGTGACTTCTTTTAGTTAATGACTTTGCTTTTTGGAGTGGGAGAGAAAGGGTGGAGTTAAAAGCTGAGCACAGGAGAGGGCAGACAACAGAAGCAAGAAGAACTACAATCCTGCAGCCTGTGGAACAAAAACCACATTCACAGAAAGAGAGACAAGATGAAAAGGCAGAGGGCTATGTACCAGATGAAGGGACAAGATAAAACCCCAGAAAAACAACTAAATGAAATGGAGATAGGCAACCTTCCAGAAAAAGAATTCAGAATAATAATAGTGAAGATGATCCAGGGCCTCGGAAAAAGAATGGA